GGGGGGGGGGGGGGGGGGGGGGCGGCGTGCGAGGGGTGTAACGTAGGCCACGTGCAAGGCGTGCAGCGCGCAGGCGGCGTGCGAGGTGAGTGGCGTGCAGGCGGCGTGCGAGGTGGGAAGCGTGTAGGGAGCGTGCGAAGTGGGCAGTGTGCAAGGAGTGTAACGCAGGCAGCGTGCAAGGAGCGTGCGAGGTGGGGAGCGTGCAAGGCAGGCAGGCGAGGTGCCAAGCAGGCCGCGTGCGAGGAGTGTGCGGGGCGTGTAGCAGGCAGGCAGCGCGCCAGGCGGGCGCGATAACGGACGCGATAACGGACGCAGGCAGCGCGCCAGGTGTGTAGCAGGCAAGCAGCACACCAGGCAGTGCGCGGGGGGCGGGGGGTCCGGCATCCGCTAACGAGCTCGTTTGCGCAGGCGACCGACCGACCGCTGCTGGGGGTGAACGGGCTGGATATGGCCGGGCTGCGCCCCTTCGACCTCGTCATCCCCTTCACCATCAAGAAGGGCGAGATCACCGGTGAGGGGGGGCAGATGCCCCAAAACGCCCTGGGGGGGTGTCCCTAAAACATCTGAGCTCCTGTAGGGGGTCCCCAGGCCTCCCTTGAGTCCTTCTGGGGGGGTCTGCAGAACCTGCTTGGGGGTCCCCAAAGGTATGGGGGTCCCTAAAGTCCCCCCAGATCCTCCTGGGGTGTCCCTAAGGCAGCCGATGTCCTCCTTGGGGGTCTACAGGTCCCACCAGGGGATCCCCAGGACAACTAAGATGGTCCTGGGGGGTCCCCAAGACAGCCAGGGTCCTTCCAGGGATCCCCAGGCCCTCCCGGGGGTCCCCAGACCTCCCCCTGAGCTCCCCCCCCCCACATTTCACCCCCTCCAGGGGAGGTGCGGATGCCCTCGGGGAAGGTGGCCAAGCCCGACATCACGGACAACAAGGACGGGACGGTGACGGTGCGGTTCGCTCCCACCGAGGCCGGCCTGCACGAGATGGACATCCGCTACGAGAACATGCACATTCCAGGTGGGGGGGCCGGGGGGGGCCCGTTGAAGCATCCTGGCCCCAGGGGTGCCGTGACAGCATCCCACGCGCCACCGTGCGTCCTTTGCGACGTCCCCGCGTCTGCGAGGATCCTCCCGTGGCAGTGGGGGGGGGCTCGATGCCCCCCTGACCCACCCCGTGCCCCCCCCTTTTCCCCCCCCC